GTAAATCTTTGTTACAGAGAGCGCAACACCTTTGTGATGCTGACCACCTAGAGGCCGAGCTGCAGCATGTAAGACCTGCTCTGACCATCAACAGCCTGCCCGTGCCTCGCCAGCATCGGAAGAACCCGATGAAGCCACCTACAGTTGAGCGACAACCTGCAATTCTACCATATGTGAAGGGATTTACTGACAGAATAGGCAACATCTTGAAGAAGGTTTCAATCAAGACTATTTATAAACCACATAAGAAAGTGAGCCAATTCTTGAGACCAATCAAGACTAACATTCCTCTACAACAAGCGGGTCTATACAAACTTGATTGTGACTGTGGCTTGTCATACATCGGACAGACAAAGAGAAGCATCGGTACAAGGGTTAAGGAATACATTTCAGACGTCAGGAATAGGCGCGCGTCGAAGTCAGCAGTGTGTGAACATGCAATGGACAAACCAGGCCATTACATTAGATTTGATAAACCACATAGCCTCGCTCGTGAAGACAGATATATACCAAGGTTAATCCGCGAGGCTATTGAAATTAAAAAACACCCCAATTTCAATAGAGAAGAAAGCTGGAACCTATCAAACACCTGGGATCCTCTTCTTAAAAATATAAAATCCCATGTCCGTGACCACACCGCAGGACCTAGAGACACCGTGAGCGCATTTTGCCGGCATCCAGCGCGGTACGCAAAACAATTAAGAAATCGATGGCGGTAGGAGATAAAATAACCAGACCAACTGACAGACACTCACATCTCGTCTGCCCGTGATCACGGTTACTGAAAAGTAGCCGAAACGTCGGGAGCATGTAGTTTTTTAATCAAAAATAAAACGCGAAGTAAAATCCGAAAAATATTAGTTTCATTTAGTCTACTTTTATTAACAGGACAAACATCCATATTTCCAAATGCCTTTCCAAATATAGTATTAAGAAATAAAACGTAAAGCACTGAAGAAAGACATTTAAAACAATTGAGATAAAGACCAACTTCCTTCTCTCCTTTACACTTTACTGAAGAGGTAAAATAGGATATGAGGTATCCCAAACAAGGCTTTAATGAAAGTATTCTATGCTGAGCAATTTTTTCTAATTTGTTTTCAAGCGTGGTTTTATTCTTAAAGCTTAAGAAATGTTAAAAATCTAAGGCTATATCAGTGAAAACACTTTTATTTTTTATTTATTAAGAAGACTTTTTATTTATAATTACAGATTAGTATTTTTAAATAAAGGTCCTGCAGTTTTTGTTTATTTTAAAAACATTACTTTTTTAGAATCTCACTACTTACTCCACATATAAATTGATGTTTTCTATTAAAAAAGGATCCAAAGTATTTTCTTTCACAGGACTATCATTTGTATAAAAATTTACAAATAAACAATTTGAGTCATTCCATTTAAGTAATTTTCTAAGTCATAGTACCTCGTTAAAATGTTCCGGGTTTGTTACAAATGTTACATAACATGTTTTTATAATAATACAACCAGTCGCCAGATAGTCTAGTGTAAAACTATTATATGAACAGACGTCTCACTTAGTTTAGTAGGAACGTGATAAAAAGGGAAGATAAGTCTTAAGATATATCTTACATAGACAGCAATGTACTGTTTCGTGAGGTTATGTACGCGTATTTATGTACGTGTTTTGAAAATTATTTTTGTAAAGAAATAATCATGTTAAATGGTTTAATTTAACTTTTTACACCCAAGATTTTTAATTACATAATTTTTTAATGAGTTACAAGTTTGTAGTGAGTGTTTTAAAGTAAAAAGTCATTATTCATCTGTTTCGATGCATGGAAAATTATGAGATATTGCGTTCGCCATTTACGCCTTCATTGCCAATGAGGAGCCTGACAATTAAGCACTGTCACATGTATTTAAAACTAAATGTTAAATCTATATGGTTGTCTATTTTCTTCCACATTATCAAGTTTAAACTCTTCTTTATGTAATAAGCACAGTATGTGAATGACGATTCCATTTTTAGTGATAAGATGATTTTGTTTTTATTCAGCTAATATTGAATATAAATAAGTTTCTCAGGATATACTTTTTTATAAATATGTTCGGATATTCCATAAAAATGTGTTTTAGACATCAAAATTTGAAAGGGGATATTATTTATCACGAAATTTTGATAAGATACCGCAAGATCAATGATAAACAGTTGTATTTTAAATGAAATATGACACAGTGCCTTACCTGTACTTTTAACCCACTCAAAGCAATTCTTTCTGAACCCACATTCGAAAATTCACTAGGTACCTACCTAGTGGTAGAGAGCAAAAACTACTACATATGTCAATCATTCTGTCGCACTTCAAAACACGGAGATTTATGGCTTTGATAGGTATACTCCAAAAATATAAATAAAAAAACGTAACAGATATTTTTAATTATAGGGCGATACGAAGTTCGCCGAGTCTTCTAGTACCTACATATATAAAAAGTGTGGAGTATTATATATAGTACTATGAAACTTTACTTGTTATATTTCTAGACGTTGAAATTTACTTCATTAACTTGAGTTATTATTTATTTAATTATGTAACAAAAAGAAGTTATAAAAACAACATTATAAATAAATGTCATGCACAAAGTAAGGTATCTTTAAAGAGACTTTTGCCAAAAACCCTTTTGATAGAGAAAATAAATAAATAAGAAAATAGAAAAGATATTATTTAATAAGCAACGAAATAAATATGTAAAAATAATAAAATTTAAACATCATACATACATATGTCACAAAAAATATATGAACAAAAAAGAAAATTCAAAACAATGATGAAAATAATTTTACAGAATATATTACTACAACTTTCCTATGATAACGATGTATCTACATACTTTAAGTTTCAAATAAAAAGTTTATTTAAGCTTAATACTTCTTTTTTAATAAGCCTTATATTTTAAATATATTTAAAACTATAAATGTAGACAAGATTTGACAATAGCCACAATAGTTCCACAGCATCAAAAATTTAAAAAAAAATTCCTTGATACTACAAGTTTATTAACTTAGAACTTTATAAAATTATAGTTACTATTAAACATTCTAGATATTCTGTTTCAAAAGAAAATCTTTTCAGTAATTTCGATCTTCTCTTTCGTCGTCTGTAAATACTTTAGTCTGTAATTAGATCATGACCCTTAAAGAGACGTCTCGATTGTTTGAAAAATAGTCTCTGATACTAAGACTATAATAAAACCCAGAGCCAAAAATAAGTATTTTTTTATTAAAACTGTTTTATTTAATATGAGATCTGAGCTAAGTTATATCCTAGAGCATTATGAAACAGCGTAATTTTTTTTTATAACCAGAAGCATTTGGACTATATCTATATAAATATATATGTATATATCGAGAATTTGTTTACTTTATTTAAACCAAACTCTTTATCTTAAAATGATTTACAATGTTCCACTGATTCATAACCAAAAACAGTTAAGTTTTAAACCAAAAAACATACTCTTATCGTCTTTATACAATGAATTTAAGTGAACGAATTAGACATGTATAAAACCTTCTCCGTTAATTTTAACCTGACCTTCGACCCTAACACCACCTGTATACCGACCCCTGATATTTATTATTTACTAGCTTTCCGCCCGCAGCTTCGCCCGCGTGGAGTTCGGTTATATCGCGTTTCCAAGAGAACGTTTCAAAAGTCTGGGATAAAAACTATCCTATGTTCTTTCTCAAGGTCAACTCTATCTCAGTACCAAATTTCATTAAAATCAGTTCAGTGGTTTAGGCGTGAAAGAGTAACAGACAGACAGACAGACAGACAGACAGACAGACAGACAGAGTTACTTTCGCATTTATAATATTAGTAGGGATTGACACCACCGGATAGAAACATCAACTGAATTATAAATAAAAATATAACAACGATCTTAATATAGACGGTTAGAATATACTGTATATTATTTGTTAATATGTATAATAATGTAAATTTTACATTATATGTATTAAGTGAATAAAAAACCTATATTTAGTAATATCTACGATAGCAGAGTTTTGCTATTTTATTATATGTATAATCATTGTCCTTTTAAATAGTACTATTAAGATTGCGTAGAAAATATAAATGTCTTTTAGGTGGCGATAAATTAAATTTAGAGAAGAATTTTGTTGAAATGTTTTTGGAAATAATTAATGGACAAGGTAATTGGAGTCATTGAATTCGTATGATTTGATTAGCTGGCGTTATTACATATTTTTCATTCGTAAGTAATTTATTTATTTATTTATTATTATTTAATTATGTAAAAGATTTCAAATTTCTTTTACGGAGTTACAAAATCCCTGTCGGGTTTATCCGTACACCGGCATTCATTGAGAGCACTCGGAACTTTTAGTACATAAATATACTACCTATAACAATATAAACTACATAAGATTTTGAGTAACTGATGTTTGTATAATTATAACTCGTATGTGAGGGTATACGTTAAAAGATTTTTAAATTATGTTAATAATACACAAGGTACTTACGATGCACCACTCGGCCGGTCGGTCTTAAAGCCGGTTTTACGATAATGCATTTGAAAGAAATAACTTGTAAATAGTGCAAATTCTATATTCGTTGATCCGTTTCCCTTTACGAGATATTAATTAATTTTATTTAAATAGGTATATTAAGTATTAATTGAATGTTTCATTTACAATAATCCCCAGGTTTCGGTTACTTTGCAACAACCGTGATTACGGGTAAACTAGAAGTAGATGAAATCAATTCAAAATAATAAAAAAGGCGAAGTAATCAAAAAATATTAGTTTTATTACAGTTTTAATTCTCGTTAGTTTACGGCTAAGAAGCCCAATATCCCTATCTTTTTACTTATTTATTTCCTGAAATCATTAAAAAACAATGCATATCTTACTAAATGATGATCCCAACGTTTCGGTTACTAGTCGGCAAATTAAATCATTGATTTTCAAAGAGATCGCAGTATTATAAGATTTTCATTCAATCGATCAACTGATCGACCAACTAGTCGGGCAACTGGTTGGGCAACTGATCGTCCAACTGATCGACCAACTGATCGACCAACTGATCGACCAACTGATCGACCAACTGGTCGACCAACTGATCGACCAACTGGTCGACCAACTGATCGACCAACTGGTCGACCAACTGATCGACCAACTGGTCGACCAACTGATCGACCAACTGGTCGACCAACTGATCGACCAACTGGTCGACCAACTGATCGACCAACTGATCGACCAACTGGTCGATCAGTTGGTCGACCAACTGATCGTCCAACTGATCGACCAACTGATCGACCAACTGATCGTTCAACTGGTCGACCAACTGATCGGTCAACTGATCGTCCAACTCGCTTCTATCTAAAAACAAAAAGGACCTAACCCTCGCAGCGTCTACTCAGCATTACACAATACAATATTTGAATCCAGTTCCGGTTATGAATCTTTAATATATGTAGGTACAAAAAAATAACACGATTCTCATATAAATTATAACACGAACGAGAAAAAATTGTACAAGAATTTACTAAGAATACAGAAACTCTGGATAAAAAATGTATTTACTGGCTGACCTTTGTGAATGCAACATCTATGCGTGATATTTGATTATTAAGAAAAAATTTTGGTTTAATGAAGCCATAATATATATATACATATTACAAATTACTTAATATATAATAATATTAATATTTATTATTTATTTAAATGAAATTGGTCAAGAACTTGCTTTTCTATGTACTTTAATCAAATGAACAGATGTTTTCAAGGTGTAATGTGTTTGCCGTTTGTAAATTTTTGTTGTACCTTTTTTGAATAAGTAGAAAAATGATATTTTTCTATATTTATATATATATATATATATATATATATATACAGGGTGACTGGTGAATTACTATCGATACTTGAGGACGTGATATTTGACGATCATATATGACAAAATAAAAATTAATATAACATAAATATTAATAAAGTTCTAAGTAAAGTTAACCAAAAGTTATGTAATTAATTACGCATCGTGTGAACACCCTACAGATTAGGTATACACACACACTCACACATACGCGTGCGGCGGCGTGCTGATACAACACCACACTTGGAACACTTGGACCGTGTCAACACTTTATTTATTTATACGGAAAATTTGTCAAAAATTAAGTGACTATTTTTTTACATAATTCGAATGAGAATCATGTACCGAGTATTCTCCTTAAATATTGATAGTAATTCACCAGTCACCCTGTCTATATGTATACATATATGGTATTTCAAAGTTTTTCATTTCAATATCGTCTCACTAATACATGAACTATAATTAACTCAAATATATTTTTAATTACACAACATATATAATTACTACATTTTTTTATTTATGTATCGCTTTTTACGGGTCATACCTATATGTCGGTAATAACAAAAAATGAATGCTTATATAAAGAAAAAAAAAAAAAAAAATCAGTGGTGGCTCAGTGGCTAAAGGGCCCGCCTCTCGTTGCCGAGGGCGCGGGTTCGATCCTGGCCCGGGCAAGTACCAATGTGATTTTTCCGAAACATATGTTCTTTCCAAGAGTATTTAGACATCTAGCAATAATTATTTATTAGGATGTGGATAGTCTTTATATGAAACAGTTTTATTTGTAACGTTCCAGGACTCGTGAGAATATATAATTCAAGATGAGGGTCGAAGCTGTTGGTGGAGCGTCTGTTAGGACGTGGTCTGCGGACGAGAGGAAACCTTCTATGAAGAGAAGTGTATGTAGCTGATGTACGATAGTAGTGTGACGGTATGTACTGTTGAATATTTAATATTATTCTGTTATCATTTATAGTAAGGGTGAATATTGAGTTCGTTTATTCAATACTTTTATTAATTATAATAATTATTACATACATCGACTGAACGCTTCCGACGCGTTGCTTCGTAATGAATAACTAAATGAAGGATAGTAAATCTTTTTTTTAAACATTTACTTATATAAAATATAGTAATGGAGACGTAGTATGTAACATAATTTAATTTCCCTACTAATATTATAAATGCGAAAGTAACTCTGTCTGTCTATCTGTTACGCTTTCACGCCTAAACCACTCAACAAATTTTATTGAATTTTGGTACAGAGATGGAGTTGACCTGGAGAAAGAACATGGGATAGTTTTTATCCCAGACTTTTGAAAGGTTCTCTTGGAAACGCGATATAACCGAACTACACGCGGGCGAAAGCTAGTTGTAAAAGTACCACATATCTTTTTATAAGTGTTTGTAAATTTGGAATATGTTTCTGGAAATAAAGTGATTTATTTATTTATTTAATATAACGGTATCCTTACAGATATCTAATCATAATATGAGGCGAGTGTAGTGTACACACTGGGAAAAGAGTACGTCCATGTGTTTTAGCCTAAAGTGAATGGAATTGCTCACATGTACCCAAAGTGCACACTCGCCTTGTATGACATAATCAATGGAATAGAAATATCTAGCACTCCACGAACTTAAACACTGAACGAATCTCTTTTTTTTTCATTCTAGTTTTATTTTTAATAATTAAAAATATGCTACTTTTAGTCTGTCATTTTATTAGCGAGTGTTTTTGTAATTTATTAAAATATTTAATAATTTATTTTAAACCGACAATAATTGAACTATGTAAGTTTCTTTGTATGTCTTTATATAAGAACAATATTGTATTATGTATTACAGATGGTGTTATTGGACTGTACTTGAGATTCATCCATCAGGAGATGACGGCTGATCATCAAGAGTTAGATGAAAACTAACAATGAACCAAGTATTGATGAAACATAGAATTATATGAAGAGGAGAATGACTCGGTTAGTGTAACATATTAGAATAGAGAAGACTTGAAGTATCAACTGTAGCAGTCTCCAGACAATATAAGGAGTGTGTTTACTATAAACATATACAGTACGTGTTTGATGTGTCTATTGATATCAAAGAACCTTCTGGAATGTACGTATACATAGAAAGATAATTAATTTTAATTTATTTAAAACAATTTAGAGCTCTCCTACAGAAACATCTTCCTCAATCAAAGTACTCATAGTTTCACTACCGTCGTATGTTTTCACTACATGGTCTGTCCATCGATCATGAAATATATGTTTGTTTCAAAATATAAAGATAAGTAAAGTTAATGATATCCAAACAAATCTTTGTAGAGGACCGCAGTCTTAAGAAAATTGTTATTTTCTAAACGCTATATTTGGCGAAGGCTTATTAATTTGATAGTTTGGTTTAATTCATTACTATTTTTATTTTAACTTTTTTGTTGTTAATCTTTGACCACATCCTAAAATATGTGCTATCTTTAATATGAACAATAATAATTTATTATGAAGTGGATAGTCTTTATACGAAATAGTATTATTCGTAACGTTCCAGGACTCGTGAGAATATATTTAGTTGTCGACTTTGATTTTTTTTTAATGTGAAGCAAATATTTTATAATTACTGATTTTTGTCAAATTTAATTTGTAAATAAGAATTATTAAACAGCTGATATCGCGTGATTTAATTAGACACCACAATACCTACGACAAAACCGGCGTGTTTAAATGGTGTGAATCAAAATATTAACAATAATTTAAAGATTATAATCAAACTTATAGTTTAATATGCAGTCGCACTGCGTTGTCGTTTTAAAACATTTTCAAAATGTCCACCGCCTTGTTCAATGCACTTTAATGACCGTTTTCGCAATTTCGCAATAAGGAACTTCCAGGACTAATATCTAATTAAAGATAATTGTACTTTGATTTCGTCGTTAGTGTTCTGTTAAACTAATCTTTATTTGCAACAAATAAGTCATATTTTTGTACACTCACTAAATTGATAGTAATTTTAGAAAAAACAATTATTATCTTAGAGGCGAACCAAGGCACACGAGAAAGCATACAAGGAAGACAAAAATACGCCACGAAGAATCAATGGCTCTATACGTATTTCAGCAGAATTATTTTACGTTTTTTATGCTCAAGAAAAAATATATATTTATTGGAAATAAACAGGAATATAGGTTAGGAATATAAACGCAACATATTGTGATGTATCACTTCATTAATACTGCTTCATTATTATTTTTTACAAATGGATGGACAAAGCATCCACTGATTAAAAATATTGTACTTAATGATATAAACGCTTTTTATAAGTTTAAAAAATTACCAAAATATTTAAAATCTAATACAAAAAACTTAATTTCGTAGACTTTTATGACAGTGCAGTTAAAGTACCTCAACAAGGATAAGTAGAATAATATATATAACTATTGTATTTAATTCTTTTGGGGTCCTGAAAAATATTTTTTTTTACATAAAAATGGTATTTATTTATAGAAAAGTTAGTAAATTTTTCACCAATTTTGGGTAATATTAAAATATAAGTACCGTGAAAACTGTCCACACAAAGCTTACAATATCATAAACATATTATTTGAAACGATAAAACGAAAAGTAATCATAGAAAACGCAAAGTTGATTCTAGAACCAACTCAATTAATATACGTAGTATCGTTATTACCAAGAATATTTTTATTAAATTTATTGTATGTATATGTGTTTTACATCATAATTATAATGAATAATATTTGAACTTAATATTTTATCAATCGGTACAGTAGGTTATGCGTTATTCAGTATCAAATACACATTATACAAGAAAACCTTGATAAATATTGAACTATGGTTTACATCCTTGACTTTACATCTTTGAATAAATATCTATTGATAATAATTAGCTTAATTTTTATTATTACTTCGCGTAATTCCCTTTACATTAAACAAAAGCGTCTCGATGATAAACTGAATGAAACACTTACCTGTTCTGTTCACTAAATCTATAATTACTTCTTACTCAAACTTTTCATTCAATTAAGAACTTCCAAGTTCTGAGGCGTCCGCTAGGAATTCTTACCTGTAATTCAGAACAAAAACATGTTAAGTATTAAAAGCATTTATATTCAAACAGAATAGTATGGAATGGAAATATTTTTACGATGATGGGAGTCAAACTTGAGACTTCTAAATTAAAGGATTTCATTCGATTTGGCGACTAAGCCATCTATCTATCCTTAATTCTTAATTGGGATAAAAAATCGAAAGGTTTATAATTTTTTCAATTATTATATTATATGAATAACTTAAAACAAAAGATACTACCATTCAAATAATACCTAACTATGAATGCACATATTTAAGTTTGTTTTATTATAAAAATTTATATATACATAGTTTTGTTTTTTTTCCTAGGTGTAGTTTAAAAATACTAACTCATAACAATATTTGTCGAAATCAATTTTAAACTTGTGTATAAGAGTTTCAGGGTAAAAAGGA